GTTACATGATTACTAAGCAGAGATGAAAAGATAGATAAAATTAACAAGATAAGAAGTTGAGAAATGAAAATATGAGTATTTATAACAGTGAAATATAAATTTGTTGAGTTTTATCATATATGAAACTTATCAACTGAATGTACTTGACATACTCTAGTTTTGATGCTCACATGGAAATTTGAAACCAAATACCATGTCACTTTAAATGTCAACATGTTATCATCCAATTAATGACTGAGTCTGGACAACCACTAGCTTATTTTATTTAGTTAAACACATAAATATTGGTACAAGGAGGCGTTAAACAGATATACACCACATAAATCATCCGATTTGTGTGAGGGCTGGGATATTGCCTGAGTGCTAAAACCGAAGCAGATGGTTTAATTAAAAGGCCACACCCTGAACCTTTGACCTAAAGGTCTAATCCACAATACAGTGGAGCAACGTAAGGAGATACAGTTCCATGGTAGCTGGTAACCAACGATTGCTTCACCACCCCCCATTCGTTCCTTCAGGATACTGGAGCCCATGTGCACTATCGGTCTAGAATCCAAGTTTTCCAACTCCTCTAGGTGGATCCTCTGTATCCACCACAAACCACTGGTTTACTTGACGGGTATGAATTTATTTGTAAAGATTTGTATTTTACTACTGTTGATATTGGTGATTGTAACTGATCTCCTTCTATAATGATATATATGCATTCTAAGCGAATAGTCTAGGAATTAGCATTCAATCACAAATATCAGTAAATTTTAATTTTGTCGGGATCATAGACAAAAATTATTAAATAATCAAAAGGTAAGCAATATACAACATAAATGTTAAGCGGTTTTAAAAGATCATAAGTAATTTCACTAAAACTCGTGAATTCAATATACCCCTCCCCATACATATATGTACACACACACACGTTATCCCAGCAACAATGTTTTTTTTATAATTAAACTGCCAAATAAAAGTCAAACAGGAGACAATATCACAGTAAGAATGAAAAACAAAACTATTGGGAATGCATAGGTTTATGTGAGAGTGTTGAGTCATATTCATTACTAAACGATTATTTTCCTGTAACTAAAAAAAACCCCAGAGAGATAAATGTAGACAACGACAAAAATGTGAAAACTCAGACATAGATGACAAATGTACACACACATATATACATATATACACAGTAACTGGTAGACGCCTTAATTATGACGAGGTTCTATCACTAACGCAGACAACAACTTAATATTTTATGTCAACGAACGTGAATGACTAATTGAATAATAATAATAATAATATGTAAGGGGTAACAAACAGTGAAATCACTTCTATATTTACAATCATTGAGTGTATTCAACATTTTTATAATAGGAGAGAGAGAGAGGGGGGAGAAATAGAAGAAAATAAATTTTATTTTTCGAAGGAAATAGGTAATAATTACCAAGATGTATTTCATCTTCCATTTTATATGATGTACGAAACAGTAAACTTTTCAAAAAGGAGTGAATATCTCTTCCTTTCTTTTTTTTGTTGAAAAAAGTGAGACATAAAGCATACTGTACTGTTAGTAATAAGATAAGATTAATATTTACCCGTTTCTATCGGGTCGATGAAATATTCACCCTTTCGTTAAAAATGCTAGAATATTCCACGAGAATTCTTATTGTAGTTTTATATCACATGTTGGCCTTAGGTAAAATGATCACCAAACATGAGAGAATACTGGCCCTCGAATTCCCTGGTATAGACGGGGAGTGAAGAGAGTGAGCTGTCCCTCTCGAAATGCTTTCGCATGGCCACACGTATATAGCCACTGTTAGGGAAGTCCTACGGTGAGTCCACCTAGAGGAGTTCGAAAACTGGGATTCTAAACCGATAGTGCACATGGGCTGGCTCCAGTATCCTGAAGGAACAAATGGTGGATGAACTAATTTTCGGTCACCGGCTATCATGGGACTGCATCTCCTTACGATGCTCCACTACCTTGTGGATAAGACCTTCAGGTTGAAGGCTCGGGGAGTGGCCACCTAAGAAAACCACCTGCTTCGGTTTGGGCACCCGGGCAGTAGCTCAGCCCTCACATATATTAAATGAGATTTGTGTGGCGCATATGTATTTGATGCCTCCTTGTATCAATATCTGTGTTAAAATAAATAAATAAATAACTGACCAGTTGATTTGTCTTAGTATATGACTCCTTAGTAGTGTACATATACGAAGCAATCAATTTATTTATTTAAAAACATAAACATTGGTAAAAGGAGGCATCAAATAGATATGCGCCACATAAACCATTCGATTTATGTGAGGGTTGGGATACTGCCCGGGTGCCCAGACCGAAGCAGGTGGTTTTCTTAGGTGGCCACTCCCCGAGCCTTCAACCTGAAGGTCTTATCCACAAGGTAGTGGAGCAACGTAAGGAGATGCGATCTCAAGGTAGCCGGTCACCAATAATTGGATTATACCCCATTTGTTCCTTTAGGATACTGGAACCCATGTGCACCATTGATTTGGAATCAGGGTTTTCTAACTCCCCTAGGTGAATACTCCGTGTCCAACAGTCCGGTTAAGGCGTTGGACATTCGATTTTCGTCCTGTCAATTTCGTGAACAACACCGCCGTGAGGATGCAGTTAGTAGGACTTCCCTGACAGTGGCTGTATCCACATGATCATGTGATAGCATTTCGAGAGGGAGAGTTGACTCTCCCTACTCTCGGCCTTACTAGGTCATTCTGGGGCCAAAGCTATAGACTTACTATCCCATAATTGATTATCTTTTAAATCAATCAATCAGACTCATTAACATTAAACATAATTCTCAATTACAAAATAGATAAAGTGATTAACTAATTACTTTTTATATTCTATAAGATCATTTGATATAAGATATAGATAATTTACTTAGAAATACATTACTAAAGTACTTCTCAAATTTGACTAATGTCCTTAGAAATTTTGATTAACAATTAAAGAAGTTTATTTGAAGAAAACAATAGAAAAGAGAAAGAGGGAAATCAATAAAGTTTTGGACGAGGACAAATTTACTATTAACATCAACAACCACAAGAACAAGAAACAATGAAGAAGTGGTTACGAATCGAATTTATGAATATTAAATAGAATTTGTTAGAATACTGTTTTAAGCCTCTGTTTTGCTATGGATAATGACAATTTAGTAATGTTAATAGTTGAAATCACGAGTTCATTGAAACTAGACCAAAATAGAAAACCTGGAAGCACTGGATAGCCGTTTCGTCCTAATATGGAACTCCTCAGCAATGCGCATCCATGATCCCGCCCCCCGCGAGATTCTAACCTAGGGCCTATCAGTCTCGCGCGCGAGCGCCTAACCATCTCCACAAAATCCCTACTGATAATTTAGTAATGCACAAAGTAGCTGTTTCATGAGAGAGACACACAGAGAGAGAGAGAGAGAGTGGAAACAACTGGATACATTTGAGTTAGAATCGATAGTTCAATAATTTCTAAAATAATCACAAATCATAATTTTACATTATAGACTAGACTGGAAAAAATGTAACATTAAAAAGCTTTTAATAATTGGAAAACAAGCACTTTCTTGTTTATTCTAATTTCCATATCGAAAAACCAAGCAATAGTATTTCACAATTACATCAGTGATAGTAAATCAGTTGATGAGGTTGTGGATTCACATTGACTGAGATGGTTGGGCCACGTGTTACGTATGCCTGAACACCGATTACCAAGACGCGCAAGTTACTGGCGGTGAAACCAAAACGTGACATCAGTCCATAAAGTCATTAACTTCTAGTCTGAGCCATGTTGGGAGATGCAGACTACTTGGTTGGGGTCCACGTGACTATCGTAACCAATGGTTGAGGACTGTGAGTGACATGACTCAGAATCGATCATAATGGTGTAGGTGTATACACTCTCTGTCTCCCCTCAAACTGTGAGATTAAAATTACTTTATACCTTTCTTTCTACGAACTAATTCTTTCTCCCTGTATTAGACAGACTGGCTGAAATTAACATAGAGGACCAATAAATCAATGAATGCCAGAAAACAGCATCGTGTAATTATTTCATTCCAGTTCTGGACAGTTTCACAGTTTATCACGCCTACAATTCCATACAACAGTATGCCGAAAATTTATGAAACGGCACAAACTTAATCCAATATTACTATTTGTGATTTATTGTCTCACAACTCTTGATTAACCTTAAAGAACATACGTATTTATGTCATTGAAACTTTGAGGAAACTCATCTTGAAGTAAGTTAATCATAAGTGAGTAAAATAATGATTTCAATGGATTAAGCTATTTGACATCTAACCTCCAATGATCACAGTTTCAAACTTCAATTCGTCCACTTTAATTTACCTTGTCCTATGATATCATTAAGACAAATACAAACAGCATGGATGAAATTTATATAGAAAGACGCCCACTAGGTAAATGAGGTTTAATGAGCATATAATAAGTAGTAATATAATGTTATGAGGTTATTCTTAAAGATTTTTGTGTAATTCGTAACAGTCATAGTTTATTCACTAATCATACTACAATCTTTAATTAATAAACTTAGACATTTAGACAGATTCGAAATCATACCACTTAACATTTCAGAAAATTAATTACAATAATCACATAGATTCTAATCAGATAACCTGGGATCTACTAACATGACTAAGATCAACAGTCAATAATATCATGAATTGGGAGGGGGTGTCACGTTTTTGCTTGCCCATGCGTAGTTATCTTTCAACATATTCTTACATCAATAACCACTACGCGTTGTCAAGGTCAGTGATGATTGGGCATTCACAATACATGCATCAACTACTTCATTCCATAAAAATGCACAAACTCATCAACTGATTTACCATTTAAGCCTAGTACTGCTACTTTATGCCCGATATCAACATTGTTCTCTTTGATGAATCCAAACATAAGTGAGGAATATAATAAGAACCAGTTAGATTGTTTTTTATTGAAATAAAACATTGTAGTAATTAACTTACTATGGATTTTGTTTTCTCGGGACGTGTAGCAATTGGTGGTGGATGTACACCACTATTATTGACAATTATAGTATTATTAGTATTATTATTTAAAGGTAAAATTGTTCGTTGACAAGAAGGTGTACCAGCAAGTGATTCACGTCGTGGTGTAGGTACCGGAGTTGCAGATCCTGCTGGAGAAGGGGATGACTGACCTGAAGAACAATATTGAATAGTTGCATTGTTAGAAATGTCAGGAGGTGATAGAATGCCATCAGCAAATCGTCTTGGTAGACCAGGTGATAAAGGGGGTGGTGGATTACTTAAATGTGAATGAATTTGTGGACGCCAGGGAGTTTTTTTATTTGTTTGGTTGATAAAATCTAGATTGGATTGTTTAGAGGACAATGATGATGAAGATGGTTGCATCACATAAGGAGATGGATGAGGCGGCATAGAACGATTATTGATGCTCGTGACAGTGCTTAAATTAGTAGAGGAGCCCATAGTTACTGATCTTATTTCATGATCTGAATGGATCTAAATGAAATCAAGAGAAGAAACAAAAATCAACTCGTTCTCATCAGATCGAATTAGATAATTTTTAAAATAAAAAAATCCATTTTTATTAACTTCTAACAATACGATTTTAGTTCTGTAGCGACAAAATATCTCAAACAACGCCTGTTAGAACAAAAATCGATGCTACTCAATCATTTGATGACGATACACTGCAAAATTTCAACGGTGGTAATCAGAGTTAAGTTTCATGATGAATGTTACAAGTAAGAATCAAAAACAGTACTTATAAGTTATTGAAGTGTTTATGGTAGTATTCACAGTAGATACATACTGAAAGGATGTTTTTGATATGACATCAGTTTTGAGCAATGCTACAGCTACTGTTTACATCTAAAATATCCTAGAGGTAAAGGTTAACAATTCCTTACAAACTGTATTTTAGTCTTACAAAATGAACTCTCACTTTTTCGTGGCATTTTCTTCATGGACCTATGGATCGAATCCCATACACCTATACTTTTTTCCGATAGTTTGTCTTTTTATATTAAAAAACCGTGCCCAGTGAATTCCAACCTTGTCGGGCGTCAGACAATTATCTATCTGAAGCAATAAATGCAGCTTGTGCGATATTGTGTACTTATTGCTGTTGGATACTAACACCGTTGGATTCCGAACCAGTGGTCTAGAGGTTAAGTGTTCGCGCGCGAAACTGAGGGTTTTGTGTTCGGTTTCCGGATGAGGGGTCTTGGATGCGCACTACTGAGTCCCATGCTAATGGTGGCCTAAATGAGATCAGTTCGTAGCATAAACTATGAAAATTCTACAATCTCTACAAGTCCTGCTATATTAACCATCTTTTAACGCCATTTGTTAATGTTCAAGGCCAACTAACAACTACATATACAGGTTTGCTGCTTTTTCTTGGGGCAGATAAAGTGGTTATATAGGCAGTTTTAGTCAAAGCTGCTTAATCGGTTCATTTACTTTCAATTTCGTCATCAATGATATTCTGAAAACAGCTGTGAAGAAAGTACATGACGACATAGAACGGTAAACTGAAGAGACAATTTTCAAAGTTGAGCATTCGTATGATATTACCTTAATGTAGCATAAACACAAATTAATTCAATTACACTTTATTAGTTGGAAACGACTGTTGAAATGTCTAGAATCCGATTATATGAGTATTTGATCCCACGATGATGATGGTACCATGGGAAATAATATCGGTTTACGAGTAATAAAAACTAAAACGTTTATACCAATATGGAACATTTTCAGCAACATTTAGATATTAGTTTGGTTGTAAATGGTTGGATGAATGAAGCCATCATGATAGCAGTTCTACTCTATATTTGTAAAAACTGGTTACTATGTGCTCTATCATCAATGGTAACACGATATAAGTAATGCAGGAATCTAGCAATATATATGTTCAGACATAGAGATGCTAATCCAATCACTGTATAACTCGTGCTCTCAAAATGTTGACACAGAAGATTCCACACCATGCATTATTCGCCAACTTTGCAGCTGGAGGAGAAAACTGTAGAGAGAGTTAGTTAATGACAAGATGTCATGAAACAATAGACAGTTAGTTGCATTGAATTGGCACTTATGGGTCTATTATGACATCACCTGATGAAATTTTAAGAAATATACAACTCAGGATAATATCATAATAAAAACTAGTGATAACTTTATAAGTAAAGATGGATAGTGGCTAGCAGTCGAAACCAGGACGCGCGTGTCTTCCTATTTAGGAATCCTCAACTGCATTTACCTGCATCTAAGAGTTGATATTCACTCTGGGACTCGAATCCAGTACCGCCTGCTTCAAACGCCATAGTGTTATCCATTTAGCTACTGAGTCCTGATTAGCCACTTCCTTGTGCAATGGGGCGAAGTTTAAATTCATTTGCTATCAGGACTCAGTATCTAAGTGGATAACCCAATGGCGTTTAAAGCGAACGGTACCGGGTTCGAGTCCCAGAGTGAACATAAACTCTGAGATGCAGGAACATCCACCTGACGAGTCCCAAATAAGACGAAACGCGTGTCACACTGGATTCGAATGCTAACCACTCTCCATCTTTGCCTATAATGCTTTTGAATTAAGGCAATATCGAGGCAATCTGTACAGGATGCATATATGCCAGTGGGAGAATGACTGATCAATTGCAGTTCTAAATATCAATGAGAAGATTCAAGTGAACAATACCAAGGAAATTTAGTGATAACAATGTTTTAGACTTTATAATTAAATTGTCCATAAAGGCAAGAAAAAATCCACCATTTTAACTGAATGAAATATGCCTTAGTTGTGGATTATAATCGAATCGTCTTTTAAAATAAAAAATATTCTTATTTAGTTACTAACTATATGGTTTTCTCTATTACCTTTTCACAAGATTACAATTTCACGTTATGTGATACGACTTCCCTGTCGCAACAAAATATCCTAAGGTGTTAATTAGAGAGAAATAGATCACCATAGTGGGGGGGAAGGGATGACATGATGTAATATTAATTAAACAACTATGGTTAAATTAGAGAAAGTTATTACATTAATTGAAGTTGTTTAAAAGAACAATCGTGAATATTTTGCGGTTAAAAAATTCCAGATAAGTTGTTTTGTTTGTTTTCTTTAATTTGGTTGAAAAAAAAGACGTTTATACATATTCTTCATCTCTTTGTAAGTCTTATTCCAAATCATTTCTATATCATATCGAATTCGAACTCCATTCCCATAGCGTTGCAATAGCTACAATTGTTTTCAATGCTTTTACTTTCGTCCTTTCTTTCCTTTCTTCATTTCTCTCCCTTTCGAATCCCACATTGTTTATCCTATATTATATTATTTATAACGTTCTTTTGTTCCTACATGTACAAAAAATTCAGTGTGGTAATTTACCCTGGTTAAATAACTGTCTACTTAAATGTTATAAGTTAATTTATTTAGATAACTTATTTATCCACAAATAAAGATAGTACATTATTCAATATCATGAATTTTATTAATTTAAACACATCCCAACCGTAGCTAATACCCCCGACCACAACTCGACTGTATTTGCTACCTTGACGCGGTGGTCGGGTTTGCCTATCGTGATGACCTAACCGAGCTATATTGGCTGGAATATATGTTCCTTTAGGCAGGTCGATTGGAAAACGGTAAGACTAAAAGCAGCAACTCAAGGTCTGAGGGCGAAGTCGTATTGCTGACTGAAGAGGGGTGTGACAGCAGTAGGGTGATCGATAGCATTCGATCTGCACTAATAAGGACTAGACACGCATCACATTGATCGCCACCCAGTGATCAATCAATTGTGATTACATCTCAATCCTACAGGAGGTTAGTCACGGCTCGGATAGCTCAGTGGTAACGTCTCTGACTGTGAAGCTGGGTGACACGAGATCGAATCCGCCAGGGAGCACCAGTTCCCTCAAGATTACAAGTACACCTTGCTAACGAGTGCCAAGTAGCAGGAAACCCGGGTCCAGGGCTTCCTGTTGACTACCTCCAACCACCATCTAAATCTCAATACATAGTGCCCGCAGTGTCGAGTCACCTAGACTGGTGGCCACATTGTAACATGATCGATAACATTCGATCTGCACTAATAAGGACTAGACAAGCATGAGATTGATCACTACCCAGTGATCAATCAATTGTAAGGTGTTTCCCTCGGACAACCAGCATCTGCAGCGATGTTGCCTTCTCACAAGGAAGGAAGGGGTTAGAAAAGGTTGACCCTAAAAATGTTAAACCACACCTTTCCTCACGGGTTTCCGTCTCTGACGGTAAGGCCCTTTGAAGAACGGAGCTAACACATTGAAAACCTCCCACGAAAAGGCCGTGCGCGACCGGCCTCAAGCAGTTGTCCCTTGAGCTCTGCGGTCACGCTCGCAAGTCGCTAAAACCAACACTAATCCGAATACCCTTCCACGGTGTGGGCAGCCGGGAAGTGATATCAGTCCATATACCCATAACAGCACATGAGGCCAAGTTGGTCACATTCAAATCCTTCCTACACCTCCTAGTAACTCTTTTATCTCCACGACTAACCCTTCTCACGTCCCTTTAAAAAGTAATATCAACATCGACTGGAATCTTTCTGAAGAGACAACATGTTACCTAGATTTCTGCTGTTACATGTTATTTGTTTCTTTAAAGTATAAACTTGATGACATTTTCCTGATTTATATTTTCGTAATAACCTCTGGTGTCATTGGATCGGTTACTATCGCTTTTAGTTTGTTAGCCTTGTCATATAACGCCAAGATCATTGGATGTTACGTTATAAATAAAGTTGCTCCATTTCAATTCCCGACATTTGTATGGAACTTAAAGTTACTCTGAAAGTACTATCATCTCTATCAGTGTGTGAATTATTAACATATTGTTCTATTCTGATCTATTCGAGTTCTTACAAATTCTATCGTATTGGAAGAATCTTCAATCATTCACAAATAGAACTTACCATAGGCCAACTGCTATTAAGTATTAAAATAGAGGTGGAGTTTCACACTACAAAAAAAGAAATAAGCCAATATGGTTTTTCCTTTTAAAAAAAATGAGAAAAACCCACTCCACAAACTATACAAATTTCCAGTGAATGAACAACTTACCCCGGGTTCAGTAGCCCCTCTATGAGATACCATATTAGAATGATGATGATGTTGATAAGAACCAGGTGTGCAAGTAGTGTTTCCAACGACGCATGTATGATTATGAAGCGCTGGGGCTAATGGAGGTAAGGTAAGTGAAGATTGATGAATTGCTTGGGAATCAGATATCGAATTAAGAAGAGTTGTGTTAGCTGCGTTATCCATAGATGGATTAGATATTGCAGAATAATTTAACGCTTGACCTGAAGGACTAAATGATAATTTATGCGGAAGAAGCGGTGCAGGTACAAGTTCAACTCCATTGATGACGGCTGGTGGTGCTGGCCCACTTCCTGTACTTGAAGAATAACTACTACCTGAACTACTGTAACTACTTGACGGAGGAATAGCTACATTGGAACTACCAGAAGGACTAAGAACCATTCCAGACATTTGGATACCACTGGAACCACCAACACCTCCATGACCGCTACTACTACTTCGACTAACAGCACCACCACTACCACTTCCACTTCGACTTCCAATACCTTCACTACTGCCACGACCACTGCTTAAACTGCTACTTCTTGGTCCGACATCAACTGAACATGATATTCTAGTTAATGAGGTAACACGTTCTGTATCCGGTGTACAACATTTGGTACAATTTGATGCTGGTAATGAAAGTGCTTGACTAATATTTGAATCGTTTGAAGTGTTAATTTGATCAGTTGAAGACAGATCCAATGCTAAAATGTTTAATTGATTGCACAAGAAAAAAAAAACAATTTAAATTAGTCGAGTGATTCGTAAAAACAACTGTAATAAAATCCAGTATTTAAGAACAGAACTACACTTAAACTTGTGATCAAACATACAATGGGAAATCTGGAAGATTTATAACTAATTAATGGTTGATAGATACATACATCCTTCAAAGTTTAAATATTGAAAGGGATTCTTAATCGAACTGTACATTGCATTGAGCATATAACGTACACTCAGTGTTCATTTTATTTACTTAAACATATAAACATTGGTAAAAGGAGGCATCAAATATATATGAGCCACATAAATCATTCGATTGGTGTGAAAACTGGGATACTTTCCGTGTGCCCAGAACGAAGCAGGTGGTTTTCTTAACGGGTCACACCTCGAGCCTTCGACCTAAAGGTCCAATTCAAAAGGCAGTACAGCAACGTAAGGAGATGTCGTCCCATGGTAACCGGTCGCCAACGAGAGACTCATAGGCCATTTATTCCCTCAGGATTCTGGAGCCCATGTGAACCATTGATTTGGAATGAGGGTTTTCCAACTCCCCTACGTGAATTCTTCATATCCACCGACCCAGCTAAAGCGTCGGACGTCCGATTTTCGTCCTCTCAATTGTGTAAACAGTAATGCGGCGAGAAGACAGTGAGTAGGATTTGAGTGACAGTGGTTGTATGCACATGATCGTGGAGAGCTGACTCTCTCCACTCTCGGCATTTAGGGGGGGGGAGAATTCAAATCCAATTATTAGATACAGAAAGAATAAGAATGTGACAATACTTTAATGATACCACAATAATGACTATTTCCACAAGAAAGCTTTTATTATATTGAGAGAAAGAACAATCCATATGAATAACATTGATAAAAAAATTAGTGATCACTAAGCAGCTTCTTGATTCGCCCTACTTAGGAATTATTACTTAACAAGCGAGCACTCTCAATCTGACAAAGGATAAGATTTAGATTATTTAAGCTAACACTGACTTGTAAGTCGTCTTGATTTGTTTAATGATCTTCACAAATGGATATAAATATTACTGTATATTAAAGTAAAGATGGGTGAAGATCTAGTTGGAAATAATATTGTTCACTTATATTGTTGTGTATGCTACTTATATAGACAGATGTAAGTAGTATGTAGCAGCAGTCAGCAGTGCAATGTTTGTCAAAAGAAGGTTGAAATAAAGAAAACAAAAAGGAATCGGAATAAAAACAGAATTGAAAGAATCATAAAGGATAACTGTAAGGTGTACCACATGATGTAAGATTTTTACATTTCACTAAATCACTGTGTGATTGTGAGTTAAACAAAAAAATTGATCTTTCCTACCTAAGTTCTCGTTCACTTAAATATGTGTTATTCTAATTTACACATAAGAATTCTTAATATTTAAGGTTTGCACAGTATCACTGAATTTTACCAAGTTAGAACTCAACAATAATCATTGAAATTTAGTTAAATCAATAACAAATAGTCAGTGAGTAACTACGCAGAACTTCGAACGTACGTACATCAATTCAAGTTGCCATACCACATTAACACAGAGAAACAATTGTCGATTCAAATCTTGTAGTGGTAGAGGTAGTAAGAGTATAAGCAGTAATCGGAAACATTAGGGTTTGAAGATGTTATTCAAGGAGTGTAATCCAGTGAAATGAATTTCGAATGAGAATAAAAGGGACAAGGAGAATCCAGGAGATTAGAATTTGAGAGAACATAAAAAGTGGACGCACCTGCGCGATTGCAAACGGTCGCAATCATCTCCAAAACGCATATAAAAACAAACAGTGTGCTAAATTTATGATTAGTTAATCCCTTCTATACTGTATGTAAAATATTAGGATAAAGAATGATTCTGTGATGTGTTATTTTCTGCTAAAAATCAGTTTACGAACTATTTAACCAGATAACATATACAGTTTTACTGTACATGGGGAGGAAACAGAGATCAACCTTAGTCATCTAAGAGGTTCGCTTCATTCTGTTTGGGACTCGTCAGATGGACATAACTACCACATTCTAATATGAATGGTTACACTCAAATTAGGACACAGTCAGTCAGCTACAATGTAGGACCAGGCACGTATATACATCGGTCCAAGTTGCCATACCGCATTAGCACAGCAAGATGGACACCGGATTCGTAGTAGATAATTCAATAGTGATAATATATAAAAGAAAGATTGCATATAAGAAGATAGTACAGGAAGGAAGAATTAGTTCGTAGAAAGAAAGATATGAAGCGATTTTAATCTCATAGTTTAAGGGAAGACAGAGAGTGTATACACACCTACGCCATTATGATCGATTCTGAGTCATGTCACTCACAGTCTCCAATCATTGGTTACGAAAGTCATGTGGGCCCCAACCAAGTAGTCTGCATCTACCAACATGGTACAAACTAGAAGTTAGTGACTTCAAGGACTGATGCCACGTTTTGGTTTGGCCACCCTAACTTTCTTTCAACCATTCCGAACACTAATCAGCATTGCAATTAGAACACAGTACATAACATTGCTTTAAACACCAACGTATCATCCAATAAACTACTGGGTACAGATAAGTTGATAACTTAGTCAACGGGCATAAAATTATTTGTAAGGGTTCGCATTTCCCCATTATTGATATTGAGTATAGAAAATGATCAGTCCATTTTGACATATGTGGATATTGAGTGGATTGCCTCGATATTGACATTTAGTGACAAATTTATTAAAACTGAATTGTGGTTGATAGTAGAATTTAAGACGATCATTTCACGTTATTTGGGACTAGTTAACTAGCTGTCTGGGCTGAGACTTAGTAGGATAACACGATGGCTCTTGAAGCAATACTAAAGTAATGGGTTCTAATCTCAACGTGAGCATCAACGGTAGAATATAGTAGATACATTCAGCTGACAAATTCGAAATAAGATGAAATGTGAGTCCTAAACTTCATTGCTAAATACAGCCAAAATTTACTGAATCTGGTGACTAAATGCCAATATTAAGGCGATCCTCTCAAAATACGCGTATTTTGGGAGGAATCGACCAGTTGCTACAGTCCTGAATATGCAAGCTGGTTGTTTATTCCTATAAAATAAAAAAATAATCTGATCAATAGTGAACCAACACTGAATCTCATTAATATCTAAAGAAAAGTGTTGATACAAGCATGTAGTATTATCGCATCAACACAATTAACAGGACAGTGAGTTAAATTTAAAAATCCAATCGAAAATTTCTCAGCATGCAACCAAGTTTAATAGCTCATTTGGTGTTGTTTTACTTGTATTTTCCCATTTTGTTATTTAGGACTGCAATTGATCAGTCTCATGTTGGCATATATGCATCCTGTACGGACTGTCTTGATATAGCCTTAAGTAACAAGCTTTTTAAGCAAAGATGGATAGTGGCTAGCAGTGGAATTCAATTTGACACGCGTTTCGTCCTATTTAGGACTCGTCAGCTGGATGTACATGCATCTCAGAGTTGATGTTCACTTCGAATTTCTATATATAAATCACTAAATTGAGAAAATGAATTTATTTTCAAACAACACAAGAAAGTAGTCGAGTCTCAAGTTCATGATAGCATATATATGTACAGTGTGTAGTATACTAACGTACATATGATCAAGGTCAAATAATGTACATGATTACGGGTAATCACTCTCTCTCTCTCCTTTTATAGTTTAATTACGAACATGCACACATACACATACATCGAGGAACAATTGAAGCATAGAGACAAATATATTTCCAAGGAAAAAAAGTGCAGTTATTTACTTTAATCCTTATAATATTTTGGCCATAAAAAAAGGAACAAATAAAGTACCTACATTATATACGTAGATGTACATAATTAATTACTTAATTAATACGCTAAAAGTAAAAGAAATCAATAATTTGGTTGCATTACATAAATGTAACAGTGAATGATGCTTCTGTGTAGGTATATGTATATGTATAAGAGTGAATGTCTGAATCAATGATGACATTTGATGAATTACAAAGAAAATGGTAAGTTGAAGAAGAAGAAAGTGTAAACAAACGCATAAACAAATATGATGAAGAGTAAATAAGGAAGAGAGAAAATAAGTATTGGATAGTAACAGAGTGAAAAAGAAGTACTCTCTGTTTCCCTCTCTCTCTCTCTCTCTCTTTCTCTCTTTAATTATGGGCAAATTTAGTATACAAATAAATACAAACATGAACTTTGATTACATCAGATGTTTTATACATGCATATATATATATGTATATATAAATGATGAACAATAATTGGTGTCATCGATTGACCAGGAAACTAGGTCACCTAAATTGATTTTTTTTAGCATACTACATGTAGCAGTACAACAATTACAACTTATATACATATATAAAGAAATGATATACTGTTAAATTCCAATTTAAATATTGGCAAACAATTAATAGATTGAAATCATGAGTCAACTGAAGCTAGACCACCATGGAAAACCTGGAAGCACTGGACGGCCGTTTCGTCCTAGTATGGGACTCCTCAGCAGTGCGCATCCACGACCCCACACCCCACGAGATTCGAACCCAGGAATTATCAGTCTCGCGCCAGGTGCTTAACCAACTAAACCACTGAGCCGGCGTCCAATGGTATTAATGTCTAACTTCAACCAATCCACGAAGTTGAGCCACCGTACACCATTGTCTTCAGTGAGCTGATATCTCACAACAGACCTAGTTGAACTCCACTGGTAACGGCTTCTCACTAGAACTCCAGGAGTATCTCTTGAAGTCAGTCACTAGTGAGCATACTACATATAGCAGTACAACAATTACAACTTATATACATATATAAAGGAATGATATACTGTTAAGTTCCAATTTAAATATTGGCAAACAATTAATGGGTTGAGAGGAAAGTAATAACAAATTATTGCTTTTATATAACTTATGTAATCATTCTTTTATATATTACCACCATTGAATGAACTACTTCTATGAATTCGGTGTTTATCT